GAAAGAGTGAACAGGTGACCTAGATGGTCTTCACCAAAGCCAGTCATTTTTCACCAGTTTTAACGTTCAACTTCTGTAACTTGGAAGCAGAAGTACCAAATTAATAAAATCCTGGGGTCTGTTCCTGGGGTATTTATGTTACGGCAGAAATGCAGACTTCCCAGAGAACTTGAGATTAGTTTCTTCCTACCCTTTGGTTTTGCCACTTTGACTCAGTGAAGTATCACAGTGATTTACTTTTTGCTTTCTGCGTTCTCATCATGGAAATTCAAATTACTGCACAGCAGGCCAGACATTGGAGAAAGTAGGCACTTTGGTGCAAGGTTTCCAGCCTGAGTTCTAGCCTGAGGAGTTAGATGAGCATCCAAATCTCTGCATCCTTTGAAGTTCATCCTGAGTTTAAATAATTCTGAATTCAGAGAAAGTTCATGTCCAGATTGAGTTTCTAGTAACTGAGGGACAGCCATGAGTTCTGAAAAGTATTTCATTAATTACTTCAAAGCAAAGCAGAGCTGACATTAGAGAGATTGATTTTCACATGAAAACCTACCACCTGCACCCCCACCATTTTGCTCTGAGTAGGAAAAACAGCACAACACGTTTGCAGCCCGCAGGGCTTTATTGCCCCTCACCCCTTCTGCAGCTCCAGACTTCCTTCTCAGGCCAGCATTTTCAGTAATACGGGAGCCACTGATGTCAATGGCGAAAGGGAGAGCTTTGTGGTGGGCTGCTGGTGAACTTCAGAGCATCTGAGGAGAAATGTCAGCTGCTGCCCCCCAGCTTTTTGGGCATAGGTGTTCTTTGAGAAACACTGCTATTAATGACCGCTGCATAGCGCTTGCACAGATGTGGTAGATAAAATACAGGGGGAGAAGGAGGGTGATGTAGGCACCGAGGAGAGGGAAACAGAGATTTGCATTATTCCTCTAAGGGTCGCGTTGCCCCCATGTTGCACTTTGTCATTAGCTGAATTGCTGGAGCATCCTGTCAAATCAGCCTCCTGCATAGATTTTTAAAACCTCTAATTGGCACCTGCAAGGTTACAAGTTAGCGATGTGTCTCCATTTGCCCTGCACAGCCTTTCACAGCTCTTTCCCCCAGCTCCAAGGCACTGGAGTGCTGCACAGTCAGTAACCTACTGTGGTATGAGACAACCCAGGCTGTAGTTGGGGCCATGTGACGTGATCTGGCATTTGTGTGACAGAGAAAGCTTCACTTTTTTCCGTTCTCTTTTAACTATTATGCAAATGCTTCTCCATGTTTCCTGTTTGTCACAGACTCTGAGCCTCCCTAGACAGGCTATTCTGAGCTTGGCCTGCTTTCTGATAATTGCATCTGCATTAAAGCAAACACCCCTGCAGGGTTTCTCCATTCCCCTGTCCGTGCCAGCTCTGAGCTGGACAGCACTCCGTGGCTTGCAAGCACAGGGATGCGCAAAAATTGCATGCCAAGGGCTGGCAAAGCTCTGGGGAAGAAGGCAAAGCTGAGTGCTATTTCAGGCCTCTCTTATTTTGCCAGTGAGTTCAGATACCTCTCTTTTGCTAGTGATACGGTGGCTTCTAGGTCCTCCTGAGCCATGCATCAGTAAAGTGGCTATTGAGATCTACAGTCTGTGTCCAACCTGTTTCACTTACTGGCTTCTCTGTGGGGATATAAAAAATGAATAGGATCCGGGAGAGTCACCCATTAGTAATGACTGCAGTAGTAATTTTGAGAAGCTGGTCTATTGCACTGTTGTTTTTCTTTGGAAGGGAAAAGAGGCAGGACACCGCTGTAAGATTTTTGAGGGTGATCTTTATCAGATTGCTGTTTAGAAAGCTGGGAACCTCTAGTTCTTGAAGTAATACAGCCATTAGTGTCTTGCTCCTCTACACAAGGCCAAGGCCTGGACTATGAGAAGTACAGCAATGGCACTTTTCCTTTATAAAGCCCCTTTTCACTGAAGGATTATACAAAGTCTTGCTGAAATGAGTAGATTACTTCTGTCCTTGGTTTGCAGCTAGAAGAGGCAGCAGACTGTGGAAAGCTGCCTGCTGCCTGCACTGGAGTGGTGCAACACCCCATTGAACTGCCCACATTGTGGTGAAATGCTGCCAGGCACATCAAGCCGGATGCTTTCTGCATACCTGGGATTGAAATCAAGACCTCTGAAACTGTATTTCCTCTCAGGATTTAGTTCCCAGGAAGCTAAAAATATGCACAGAACCTTCCACACTCACACACTCAAAATGGTGGAAGTAAAGTAACTCAGGTTATTTCTTTTTAATTGGTTCCTAGCATAAATCTATAGCTAGTAAGTAGATACTTGCTTTCTGGTCTGATTTTCTCTTATCGACCATAGGCCATGCAGTGCAGTAACTGAATCCTCTCCTCTAATCACTGCCTTTTCTTATGCTTTCAGACAGTGACCAAGCAGGACCCTGACTGGATGCTGCCATCCATCACTCACTTGGTCTGAGCCTACATTGCCACAGCACCGACCAGGAGGTTTTTCAGAATTCAATCTCCAGTGCAGTTAGACAGCCCATCCTGCAGGGGATTTCATCTTTCACAGGCAGGGTATCCCCCAGGAGGGAGAATGGGGTTGGGTGTTCCCTGCCATAGCTATGGTGCAATGGTCACATTCCCCATGAAACACCTGGTCTCCCCTATCCAAAGGGACTTTGTTGGAGTTCCAGTTTCTGGAACATGGTGGTACATGGTGATGATGGTGAACCTCAGTACTATGGGAAGAGTGTTGTGGGAGTGGGTGCTGCTTCTGTTTTGTTTTTCATCATTCTTGAAGCAAATCCAACTTTATCAATTATAGGGCTGAACAAATATCAAATATCTACAGATATCAGTGCATAACTTGTAAGAGGAAAGAGTAGCAGGTCTTTTTGAAGAGGAGACAAAAATGGCATAAACTAGCTCTCCCCCCATTTTTTTGGTGGAATAACTGTACAGTTGAAATCTACCCAACTCTCGTTTCCTATTTGTGTTTCTTTCATCTTAGGCTTTCATCTAAGTGCTGGTCATGAGTAAGTTACGCCTACGGAGCTGTCACCATCAAGTTCTGTATATCACTGAATTCGTAGCAGTTCTGGCAGTGCTGAACTGCATACTTACATGTTTACATGCATGCGCATGTACACGCTTAATTCCATTAGAGCTTCCTGATACACTTTCCCTCACTTCTCTGAAGGAGCTATTTCCAGAGATCCCAAGTGTGGAAGTGGATCTCTCAGATGACTTTTGAATCCGCAGAGAGGAATAAATGTCTTTGGAAGACTAAGATTGACACATGTACAATTGCCCTTTCCTCCATCCTGATATGTGAGGAAGGCCAAGAGTGATGTGGTGCGAGAGTTGCTTTTGCTGTTTTTGTGTGGCAATGTAGAGGAAGAGAGATCTGAGGTGATAACCAACGTGCTGGGAAATCCTCCTCCTCTGCACACTGATGGAAACCTACCACTTTCTAATTTCCTGCCAAGTATCTTACTGGCATTCAGGGAAAGTTGTCTGTGTTCGAGCTTAGCAGAGGATGATATCTCGGGAAATTAAAGGACATCAAGGACTAAAGGTATATTGGGGCAAGTTCCTAATTACTCATCTGATCCCTTCAGGGGAGATGTTCAGGGATGGTTTTGTAGTTTGTTCATGTTCCGTTTGTTAGCATAGCAGCTCCAGGACGATTGGTTATTTGAAGGACTGTAAAAAACCCTACCTAGTTGTCCTTGTTTGCTTCTTCAGGTCTTTTTCCTGCCTTTGTGGATTCCTGGAAATTTGTCATGCCTGGCTGCAATGCTTAGACTGCGTCTTGCTGCAGTTTATTTCAGTAATCTACAGTCTCCACAGCACTACATTAATTCCCTTAGAGTTAGCCTAGGTCAAATCAGAGCGGTTACAGTGTGGCTTTGAGCAGCACAGAGCAATTTTGCTAGCAGCTGAGGAATTGCACTGACTCCATCTCTAATGAATACCCTTAGTAAATTCAAGTTAAAAGCACCATGGCAGTCATGATAGGAATTTTGGGTGAGAACAGGACTTGCGCTAATTACAGGGACTTAGTCACAACTTGTTAACTCCGTGTTAAAGACACGCTCTTAGAAGTAGCCATGCTCGGACAGATTGGGAATTGATAGAAAGCACAGTCTTATGCTTAAGGGTCTGAACACTGCATCTCCAGTAATCAGGTTTAATTTATTGTCGTGCCTTGTACTTCTTGTGTCATTTCTTATATTTCTTTCCCTTTCTGTGCCTCAGCTCTGGAGCTATAAAATCACATTGCTATCTGTCTTCCTGTCTTTGTCTCCGCTGCATACACTGCAAGTCCTTCAGGATGGAGATTTTCTACTATTAATTGAGTATGCAGTACCTAGTGCAGTATGGCCACACCTTGCCTGTGGGAAGTCAGGAGAGCCCTAAGTGACATCTTAGAGTATCTGTACTTTGAGAATATATCATTGGCTTTGGATTGTGAGGCAGGAACAGCCTTGAACGCTCATATAACTCCTACAGCTAATTCCCTTTGGTGGATTTGGGACTTTTCTTTCAACCTTGAAATTTTGCTGGTTTTCTGTTCCACAGGACAGGGAGTACTGAGGCTGAACAAATTGAATTTTTCTTAAATTATATGAGTGCTAAATATGATATACTGTTATAAGTTGCCATATCCGCTGGATATAAAGAAGAGTGGAAAATGGATAAATACGAAGAGAATGTGTGACAGTGTCTAATGTATTCTAAGACCAAGCTTCTAATCTTCTCTATTTATTTTTGTTTCTTCCAGGTGGAGCGGGAAATAGCCATCCTGAAGTTGATAGAACATCCCCACGTTTTAAAGCTGCATGATGTTTACGAAAATAAAAAATATTTGTAGGTATTACTGGCTTTGGCCAGAGAAAGGGGAAGGGAGGGCGATGGTGGGTTCGGAACTTGGTAACATGTCTGAAAGAATGGAGCAGGGTATGTGTTCACCCTCGGCTTGTATCCGTGTGGTATCTGGTACTTGGATGAGGAAGGAACACTCCTTATTTCCTTGGGTTTTCTTGTTTTCTTCTCTGTACTTTACTTATATGCTGTTTCTTTTCCTCTTAAAATGGAGGAGAGAGGACAAACCAACATTTTCTATCAACCAGCAAGAGGGGAAGAAGGTTTGTACCTGTACGATCTGGAACCATTTTCAATCAAAACTGTAACAGACTGTTACAGTGGATAATTTTGATAACCTCCTTTGCCTAATAGTTTTCATTTAAACCCTTGACTTTCAGTAAGAATATTTTAAATTTGCCCCATCAATAACAATTTTTGGTTTTAAGGGTTGCTGAAATCTCCTGATGGTTCTGCAGTAAGAGTTAAGTAGCAAAACCTTTTTTTTTTCCAGATCATTGCCAGAGCCAGACAGGGATGTTGTCCACAGACAGAGTCATTTTAGCTTGACAGGGCACTAGATATCTTGAATCTGTTGTCAAACAAACAGGCCACATTAATCTTGGCACAACAGGAAAAAAAATCAATGTTCTCCAAGTGGAAAAGGGCAACCCAGTAGGGAACTCAGTGTTATTTTCAGTGTTTTAACAGGTTATTGCAAGTAGAAGAGAGTGATTAAAAAAAAATTAAACTATTTTTAAACCCACCATCCATCGGTGATCTCTCCTTAAGTCACAACACAAGAAGGGAATGACTGTTTACCCAAAGAAAGCGTGTGGAATGGAGGTAACAATCCCTCATGGACTATTCAGCCAGTCTGTTACTGGAGCAATGAATTTCTGTTCTGAGAAGTGAGGCCTTGGTGCCTAAGGGTTAGCTTACTAGAGCAGGCAGTAATTTCTTTTGGATCCTCCTGTGGTGCAGGGCCTGCCATCCATGGTGAAATGTGGTTGCCAGAGCGAGCTCGTGCAGGCACTGGGTGGAGGCTGGGTCAGATGTTTTCTGAGACGCATGCCAAATGCTCAATCCTCAGTGGCGCAAATGGTCACGGCTCCATTAAGCCCAGTTTGCCCCAGCTGAGGACAGAGGCCCAGATCTAATGCAGCCAGCTCTGCATGCCGGAGAAGGGTAGCAAAGGGAGGTGAGGCTTTACAGCCAATAAGTTCTCCTTTAATCGTGAAAAGAGAGGCACCATTTGTAAGAGTGTATTCTGTATTCTGCGGGTAGGATGAGGCCCCAGGCTTTCTTTTGGTTAAGAGAGGGAATGTTCTTCTTTGTGACCCTTGTTTATTTGCATGTTGTATAATCTTAGGTATCCAAACACATAAACACACACACTTACATAAACACAACATATAGCTGATGTGTTCCAGGTAGGTGTAGTATACTTGAGCGGTGGAGACAATGTATGAATACATGAAGAAGAAAGGCCATGATCATCACTTGGAGTGAGGGGATGGGTTATAGAGGTGTTGAAGCTTTCTTGCTCTGAATGCCTGTGAAGCCAGCAGCTGAGCTGAGCTCTCCTGTTTTACCCTGAAAGACCTGAGGGGCTATTTTGCTCCATGTGAAACATATCTAGTGCTCAGAACAGTGGGGGATGGTCTTACACCAAGATTTCCAAAAAATTTTTGAAAAGGGAAGCATCCCATATCTTTAAGCTATATCTGGATATCCTGCCTTCTAAAAAATTTTGGGCTCCAAAGGGTGCCTGCCAGTGACTGTTTAGCCTTTAACAATCACTGAGTTGTCTTTGTGCTGCAGCTCCTCTGCCTGTAAGACTGAGCTCTCTGCATCTCCCTGCAAAGGCACTGAATCCCTCTGCTGAAAGACACTGACTCTGTGAAAGAGCCAATGACTGTTAATTACATTTCATTTTTTATTAGTCACTATTTTAAAGAAAGGGCACAATGCAGAGCTTCTGCCAAGCCTCTGTGTTCAAAATTAGAAAAAAGCCGTGGCCTTGGATAAATCTAAGAGGTGGAAGAGAGTGCCTGTGGAGGGGTGAAGTGTTACAAGTATGTGGGGGCTGAGAAGTGTGTATGTGTGTACTTTTCCAAATAATAAGACACAGTGACCTCTAGTTCTCACCAGCATCAAAAAAGGGATTGCTCTCTGGTTGTGGCAGCACCTTTCCATCACGCATGCCATCTCAGCAGTAACGGTAGTGGCATGGTTTCAGAGGAGCTCGTGAATTACGAGTGATATTTCAGATGCCAGAGACTAATCATGATGCAGCGCTGGGGAGTATTTCCTCGATAAATGTTAATTTCACAAATCATGTTTGACTTTTGGTTTATGATTTAATTTGTGACAAGGGGCTTTGCTTGAGTAGATTCCTGATGCGACCGTGAATCAAATCCTTTTTCCACAGTTTATTTAACACTGAAAATGAGTTTTAAAAAATAGTAATAAAATCTGTTAGCATATGTGCATTAGCCTAGCAGTCGTTTTCTGTTTGTTTTGGTGGTTTTTTTACCAAGATGGTTGGAGAGATGGAGATGGCTGTGAGCTCTAAGACATCCAGCTCCTTATGCAGCATTTTGAGTTGTCTTATTTAGTAAGACTGGACTATGGTTCTAGGTGCACAGGGGAAAACACAGCTGCACTATGGCTTTCTGTATGTGTGCTGATATACCACCTCAGATATACATTGTGTTGGCTAAACTAGCAACCTTACTGACAGTTGAATTATTTTATATTTGTTGTATGATCACACTGATGGCCTTCAAGCAAGATTGGGAGTCCACAGTAATAGGTAATTTAGAAATAGCTATAGACAGTCTATGCCTCCCTCTCTCCCATCCTATAACATTAACAGACAAAGCGGCCAGGAAGGGGGGATCATCCTCCCATTTTAAAGATCAAGAATGAGGTAAAGTAGCCTGGTGTGGAGTAAGCCCAGAGTTGTTTAAGCACTTAAATTGCTGGTTCATAATGAGTAATGATCAATGAGCCGCTGAAATTTGTGTGTGCACCCATCATTTTGACTAACCAAGTTCAGACAGTCAGGAATATTAAGGAAATGTAAATTAACTAAAGGAACGAGCAAGGCGATACCAAAGCTAATAACAAAGTTTTGGTGTGTTTTGTAAGGCGTGTTGGAGGGGAAACACTCCTTTGGTCAGACGGCTTCTGCATTGCAAATGAACTGTGTGAACCTGGGTGATGGTCCTCTTCTCTCTGTGCTATGGATAGAAAAGGTCTTTCCTGAATTGGCCCTAGATAGTTTGTGTAGCAAATGGAGAGGAAGACAAAGTTCATACCCCGTTAGCAGCACTACCACTATGAATGAGCAGGGGGTTCTCATGAGCAGACTTGTTGAGGATCAAGTAAGAGGAAACATGCAAAGCCCAGTCATTTGTAAGTAAAGTGGTTGGCTCCCATTTTTTCTAGGAAGCAATCTTCTACTTTATTCTTAAGTCTCTGCTATGTACATTTACTGCATTTTATGCAGTAAATTCAGCTTTCCTTTTGATCTTAGAAAAGCAATTGTCCTACTGTTGGAGGAGCTGTTAGCATGGCAACCTAAGGGCCATCATATAGTCCACAGGAGATGGACCTTCCCTTTCCAAAGGGGATAAAGCTGACAGATAAAGTTTTGCTGCAGACCTCCCAACAGGGGTGGCATTATCCGTTTGATCTCATTTGATTAGCTATTTAGTTTAAATTATTAGGGGTTTGGCGGGGAGTGAAAATGAGATAGAATAAAGACATTTTCGGACGACTCTATGCCCTTTTCTTTCCGGTGTTTATACTAGCATTTCTCGATTCCCTTTCCGTGACTGTCTGTATGTATATATCTGTAGATTTGCATTTATAGGTGCATATAGATATTTGTATATATATGTATAGATTTATATTGATTAATTTTCAAATCCTCACATTTAAGATTTCAAATTTTCAAATTTTGTGGGAGCATTTATTTTAAATCTCTGTGATGTCCAACTTGATCAGCATTTTAAACAAGAATCTGTTTTGAGAAAGGGAGTGGACATCAGAATATTGCTCTCTGAAATGCGCCATGCATTCATCAGCTTTTTTCCAAGCATGAGTCCCTTTCTCATCATTCAGCAGTACACTGGGCAAGTGCCCAAGCCTCATTGCAATGTGCACAACACACCACCTTCTGATTTCAGAGGTGAAGGTGCTTCCCAATGAGCCAAATAACAAAATTAAAATATCCTCCTACCCATGCACAACTCCCGTTTCTGGCTTAAACAAGATCAGCTGACAGCAGGAGTCGAAGACTTACAGCTCTGGTGGTGTCTGCAGAGGCATTCATGCTGCCAGTCCTCTCCTGCAGGATTTTCCTGTAATTCTGTTTATTTTTGTTGAAAACTAATTGTGAGGTGCCAGGGGATGCAAGAAAGAGACAAAAGGGTTCTGCGTGTTCTTCTGTTATTGGTAGCCCAGCACTTTGACATTCAATCCATCTGTGGGGAAACCTGTCTAAAGGCAGAAGGAGGGCTCAGAAAGTTGGAGCAGCTCCAAGGACTCAGCGCTGAAAATTAATTTTGTGGTAGGTGTGCTTCTTGGTAGTCTGGTTGTGGGGTGTCAGATGCTGTGGATACGGGAGAAGAAAACAGAACAGGCTTGGAACACAAAATGATGTTCCACCTGAGCCGTGATTAGAATTAGGAAGAGTATTCATAACCAGCTACTTTGACCCCTTTTCTTCTGCTGTTGACTTGTTTTACTACTGTCATGAATTACAAGCACATGTAGCCAAAGGAAGGCCAGTCAGCTGTAGGAGCGGAGCCAGCGCATGTGAGGTTTTGAGTCAAGGGTGGGCCTGGAGACAGGGAGCTGGCTAGAGGCCAGGGGAAGGGAAGGGGGTGCTGTGCTGAGGACAGGTGCCTCCACTTGTAGGAGGGATGCCAGCCTAGCACGAAGCAGGGCTTGCACAGAGGTGGTACTGATTATTAATACAACGCCTTGTGCGA